GGAAACATGACAGCCACCAAACCGGAAAGAAGTTTAGCTTTTAACTCACAGCAATACAAGTTTGATGCTTAACTCTGAACATTTTTGAAAAGTAATTAAAAAGTGATTGAAAATAAGAATTGTAAACAAACAAACTGCCAACGTTGATAAACAAATAAAGTTTATAGCTGTCATTTCTATTATTGTTATTAATGAGAAAACCTCAGTAAAACAAATCATTTGAGGTTTGACTGAAACAAAGACTTAAGTTAAAAAGCACAATCCAGTCCATGTGGAAAGCGTCATTTGGACTTCCGGTTCAATCAGTTTATTTACAGTGAACCATTAACTACAAGCTTTATTAAAACGAAAAGTTTTGATCCCCGTCTTAAAAGTTGACAGGGTGTCTAAAGGATCGGCCCTTTTTGAAATTCTAAGAACCAGCAGTAAACCTGCAGTCTGACAGCAAAATGCTCCGTTAGGACCAATCATATCACTGATGTACGACGGGGCTGATTATTAAAGCCTTCAGATGTTTTTATACTTCCTGGTTGTAAATAATTAGAGTAGTCCAGTCTTGAAGTAACAAATGCATAAAATTTCAAACTCTGGCAACGTTCCAGAAGTGAAAGCAGGACATTCAATAAGCCTGTTGGTCATGGGGTTTAAATGAGACACTGGAGGTAAAAAGATCCCAAATTAATGCCATTCAGATTAAGTGACTGACTTTTGTCTTGTTAGAATTTAAAATGAGAAAATTTTGAATCTTGATGTTCCTGTAATCAACTTTACATATGTATAGTAAAGAGAATTGGCCCAAGCTTCGAGCCCTGTAGCACTCCACAAGTCACCCTAGAGTGTGTGAAGTGAACAAATTGGAATCTGTCAGACGGATACGATTCAAACTCCAGCATCTGAAGCTGGAGTCTGAAACTTGACCCAAGCTCTTCACGCAGGTCGTCACCCTTTAGGACCTCAAACACTTGATTAGCAAATAGTTTCTCAAGAGCTTTAGACAGGAAAGGAAGATTAAATATATCATTTATTAACTCATGTTTCAGTTCATGGTGTAAAATTATGCTACATGTGAGAATTAAACCAAAAATCAACATTTAATACAATTTAAAAGGAAATATAAGGTCATTTTCACAAAATAGAGAAATATAGGTGAGAGCAGCATTAATGTGTATATGTAAATTGAGGCCAACGCATGTGTGGGTATATATTTAGACATGTGTAAACCCAGATAAAATGGGAAATTAATGAACTGTCTTTTTTCATTTTTTATTATTTTTATTTAATAAAGACGGTCTATTTGAAAACATTGTATGAGTTTATGGGGTAGCAGCTCATAAGTTTCTTATTTCTTCCTACTCCTTTTCGACTGTGTTAAAATTATTATGCTACAAAAAATATGTCTTTTGCTTTTCTTGTTCATGTGTGTGATTTTATACTTCCATCATGTTCGAAATAAATAAATGGGGGGAAAAAAATGTTGATCAAGAAAAAAGTTGATTCATGGCGCGAATCCCTTTAGAATAGAATTATCATTTTGGTCACTTTTTGCTTAAAGTTATTTCCTTTTTTTTTACCTAAATAATTTTTTTTGCAAAAAAAAAAAAAAAAAATAAAAGACTTAGGCCATTATTTTAGAAGGATTTCTAATATTTGGGAACTAATCCAAGGGAACTATTCCTTCAGCCATGAATCCAACAACCAAGTTAAAGATTTAGATGAAGCTATGTGTTTTTCAATAACTCACAAAGTTCGACTGAATCAAAACCGTCCAAACACAGATCAGGATCAAGTAATCACATTCAGGAGGATTACAAACTATTTTTTTTTTTAATCACATTTAGCTTCATAAGCTCATTACTGCTGAGAGCTTCAGAAATTGATGGCTCTGCAGAGCCTCTGCTTTGTGTAAGTTTGGCAATTGTACTAAAAGAAAAAAGTTTTTCTCTTTCTCCTCTATTTAAAAAGTATCCAGTTGTAGCTTGGTGAAGCCTCTTGTTATACCCCAGCAGATTCTGTTTCCAGTTCAGCCAGGACTCCCCGACACGTGTCGCGACCGAGCCTCACCGAGTCGACTTCAAGGCCCATTTTCTCCCCTCAAAGATAAACATGCTCCCAAGTTGAACTGAGACGTGATCGATTCAGTCACACAGCTGCGCAGCGATGGAACATTTTATCACGCTTTGAGGGAGGAATCAACATTTTCACACATAACAACAGGAACAGATGTTGCCTTTAGAGGAAGATTACACCGTTTTGTGTTTTCACGCACAAACAAAAAGAGAACGAAACAAGTCAAGGAGAACCTGAAAGCCCATTTCCTTGCTTACTTTTCCCCAAGATTTGGTTGCATCTCCCCCTCCTCTCCTGTGGCAGAATAATTAAACTTTAGCGGAAAAAATAAAAAGATTTATTGCTGTGTCTGGTTGCCGTCAGCTTTGTTGTTTTACACCTGCATAACTTCACCTGTGTCTTTTGGGATTGACAAGGAAGAGTTTGATGCAAAGTTTCTGTGAAGAGACAAAAAGGATCCAGAACTTACAGCTAAAACCCTAAAACACAGTAACATCCAACTAGTGTACTGTCTGCACAGCAAAAAAAAAACAACAAAAAACTTGTTTCTAGTGCATTTTCTTAGTACACTTGAAATACGGCAAAAATAACTTACAAGTAACTTTTCAGCATGATATAGAAACTTGTATTAAGTCAATAATTCCATAATATTGATGAAAAAAGTTTTCTTTGCAGAAGAATTCATTTATAATGACATTTTTTTACATGAGTGAAACAATATTAAGAAATTATTGACTTACAAGTTCCTGTATCTTGTTAAAAGGTTATTTGGAAGTTAGCTGTGCATCGCTTCAAGTGTAACAAAATATTTGCACTAGAAAATCGGCCAAAAATACCTTTTTGATGGATTGTGTTTCTGCAGTGTGGATTCATGCTATTCATTACATTTTTTGAGTGCATGACACAAGATGATTGGATGACACTAATCCGATTATCGTTCCGATTATCGTTTGAGTGAGATTTAATTTAGGATTTTAAAAATTTTTCCAATAACACTGTATTATTTTATCATCATTTTCCTTCCGTGTTTCAATTTTTAGATTTAGAAATCTATTGGAATATTTGTAACACTGTGTCTTCAACTACAAGGAATAAAAACAAAATCCAAAATGAATTTACTGCAAATTCCCAAAATACTTTTGTCTCTCAGATTTTGTGATTGACCTTAGTCTGTTCTTCAAATTAACCAGAGTCAGCGCGCTAACTGTATTGGTTTCATAAAGTCGAATGCTGCCTTCTAGTGGTTGGAGACGATGCAGGTGCATCACAGCAATTCATCTTCCGCTTTCAAGAATTGGGATAATAAAATCAAAACCAAATAACATAATAGATTACTATTTGTGTTCAAATGATCTTCTTGTTACATGTAAGTTACATGACAGGCAATATTGGCATGAATATTGTTTCTGATATTATATATGCTTGTATTTAGAAAGTTTTTAAAATATATGTTTATTGAAACATAGCTTAGTTGTTTATTTTTATGCTTCTCAAGTCAGTATTATATATACTTATAATATTATACACACTACAGATGAATGAACATTATTCTACAAATGTATGTTTTAAAAAAAAAAACAAAAAACACTAATTTAGTTTAATGTCCAATTTAGTTTAGTCGACCTAAAAAAAAAAAAAACAATGTTTGTTGGTTTAAAATAAAAACATTATTTACGGCCGTATACATTTAATATAGAATAAAAATATTACAAACATACACATATTCAGGTCCAATGTGAACCGCATCTGGTGCTCTCCTGACTCATTAATGAAATACATGTAATTACACATAAAGGTCACATGAGACAAACCAGTCATTTTCTTAATGCAGCAGCAATAATGTAGCAGATAGAATTATTATCATTTTCATTTTACATGCCATACAAATCTTTAGATCATACTGTTATTTGGATGGCTATCATTCCAAAAAGATTATGAGTATTTCATTTATAGAGAAATTTAACAACAGACCGGATGATTTTCCACATGACCAGCCTTTACAAAACATTATGATTTCAACAAAGTAGAAACTACAAAAAGTCAATAACTTAAAACGCAGGAGCTAGCTCTCTTAGTGCCTTCCCTTTGAAGGCTAACATCTGCTGTAAGCAGATCTAACATCAGATGTTAGCTAGCAGCTGATGTTAGCTGTTAGCTAACGCGTAACATCAGCTAACAGCAGACGTAGCACATGTTAAGTGTTAGCTACCAGCTGCTAACAGCCAACATCTGGATGCTATTAGGCAACGACCTGTTCGATGTCAGCTGACATCAGCTAGCTGTTTCAGAGCTAATAGCTAGCTGAGCTAAATCACAAGCTCAGCTAGCTGGTGAAAGCAGTATTTTGCCACAAAACAAACTTCATTCAAGCATTATCCAGCAAAACTGAACATTCCCATTGGGCAGGCAGTGCTGCACATCCTGTCACCTGCTTTAGACTCGTACATCAGCAACAACCGAACTGAAACGTGACAAAAGACTAAATCTTCACAAAAGGCATGAAACACTGTAGGGTGCTTTGGGAATTTGAATAGTTTTAAGATGCGTAATTATGGAAAATACCATGGAAGTTTAGTTATCTGCTGATGACCTCTGTGCAGGAATAACCTTATGATTAAAAAAAAAAGTCTGAACTTGATTGGGTTTTAACTGAACCGGTGGAAGAATGAGACAAATGAAAAATCTCAAGATTGATCCTCAATCTGCATTGCTAGTGCGAAGGGAACTACAACACGGTGTGTCTTGATGGGAACCTGCTAGCATAAGCTGTTCGTAAACATTTTCACCAGGGTGCCAATAACTGTGGCAGGTTCCCAAAGATAAAGCACAGAAATTTCTCTAATTTCTTGTGATGACAATCTTTTTGTTGAGCCTGAGCAAAATATCTCAGAATTAAATCTTGTTTTTTTACCCATTATATATTACAGAATACATCCAGTATTGAATATTTTATGCAAGTAAGGAAATACAAGGCAGACACTGAGAATGTTGGGGCGTAAAGTCAACAGGTGAAAATAAGAACAAGATTAGAACTAAACGACTGGAGTACTGAAGTAAATCTCATTGCAAGGTGGTGGATCTTTCTCTTTTCTCTCTCCTACACCCACACCCACACACACACACACACACACACACACACACACACACACACACACACACACACAGCGTATCGATGTTATCCCAGGAATTGACAGAGATCAGAGGAAGCAGCTTGTGAAAACAAGGTGGTTTTGGTTTCCAGGAGCATCATACGTCCTTCTTGCCTCCCCAGCTGAACAGTTTGAATTTTTGAGACTTTCTCTTGGTTTTGTCCTTCTTTACGCCTGGGAGGAAAAAGAGAAGAACAAACTCAAAACAGGCCGTTAGACAAAGTAAAGGAAAAAAAAAATAAATAAATACAGAAAGTTTGCCATGAACTCCATGAATACATTAAAGCGAAATGGCTAATGTTTAGCCCACGTTCCATGTTCACTCGCCGACCTCTCACCGAGTTTCAATAAATCTCCAGTAGGTTCCGCTCCGGGTTCCCGATCATGAATTGCAAATGACCAACAGAGTTTTCAAAAGGGTCAAATTAACCGGCCGCATTAACCATTTTGTCTAACAAAAATGCAGGAAAAGCTTTTTTTTTTCTTTCTTTTTTTTAATGTTTGATGCCATTTCCCATTAGCAGACATTAAATCAAATTAGTTGAAAACATCGCCTCGGCAGCACTCATTAAAAATGCACCGCAAGTTCACAAAGACAAACTTTTCCCCAAGTTCTATCCACTTCAGCTAAACCTGAAATCTGTTTGCTTGGACAGCGACTAGAATCACAGCGACAACCAGGCTTTGGTTAATGAGAGAGGGGGTGGTGGAGACACTCACTGAAATTCATCATCATCTTGTTTAGCTCCTCATCCTCCTCTTCCTCCCTGCAGAAAACAAAACAAACAAAAAAAAAGCACAAAGAGCAAACAAGTTTAGAATGAGCTCATGCCTGTGTGTGGAAACACTGCGTTTGTGTAAAGTCAAGAGGAACATGAGCGTTCTGCACGAGGATTGTAGACAGAGGTCTGTTGTTTCAAGTATTTATTTCATCTGCTAAATCAGATCCATACCGTAACTTTTAAAAAAAGGAAAAAATAAATAAATAAAGAACATACCTGAGCCTGTCCTCATCCAGACCTTCTACGATAGCGTTTCTATCGTTGACGATCTCTATGAGTTTCTCCATGAGGTGCTTTTCCCTCTGTCTGTCCCGGAACGTTTTTAAATGTTCTGGAAACACAACAGCATTTCAGTCGCGCCGCCGCAGAACTCCGCGTTTTTATTTTTTGTTGTTTTCGCTGACATTGTTCCTCTACAGAACTCACCTGGTTTCTCCATCAGCCTCCGGAGCTCCTGTTCCACACTGGGCTGCTCTTCTTCCAGATCCTGAGTTCGTCCTCTGCAGGTATGAGAAAAGGAAACAAAAACAACCAAAAAACAAGCTCATTTAAAACAAACTGAAGAGAATTTCTAGCTTGATCTGCCTTGAATCAGAAGTTATTATGAACTGCTCTAATTTAAACAACCTTTATTTAGTTAGCATGATCACCAATGTCAGAGAATAAACGGTTTTCCTGGAACAGTAAGTTGTTTCTCTGCCTGTAGTATATTGAGCAGCACATGCAAGATGTTGGTTGACAGTGCTAAGACCCTCCCCCTGGCTCTGATTGGTTGTTTCGACCAGGTAGTGGCACAGTTTTGCAGACTGAGGTGGTGGAGGAGTTGATTTTTTTTCTCCACAGATTATCTCCGATGATGTTACGACATGGCAACAGTTTTAATAAAACATATTTTTGTAAGTTACGTACTGCAGCTTTAAGGAAGTGTGGAAACCTGATAAAAATATATTCCTCTACTATGATCCTTTTAAAGCCACAGTAAAGCAGACTGTGGATTTTGGATCTGTCATCAACCATTTTTTTTTTTTTGTTTTGTTTTTTAAGAAATTACAGTAAAGCACTTTTTAGATTCCAGAATTTCCGTTGACTCCCAGTACATCCAAGTTCATAAATATGTTTTTCTGAACGACATCCTGATTCCAGCTACTGTTTGCTCAGTGTGGCCAGTGGGGGGCCTCAGCTGCCTTGTTCCTCGCTGTGGGACAGAGGAGGGAGGACACTGGGACCTCAAACTGTCGACCTTCTGGCCACAAGTCTGTTCCGCTAATTACTGAAAACCCCTTTTTTCTAACCCGTGTGTGTGTGTGTGTGTGTGTGTGTGTGTGTGTGTGGGTGGGTGTGTGTGTGTGGGTGTGTGTGTGTGTGTGTACTCACATATACACAAGCTCTGACTCACGACGCATGGCCACCTGCTTGTTCCTGATCAAGGTGAACCACTCGACCATAAGCTCGTCTTCGTCGTCGCCGCCACCGCCGCCCTCTGTCGCACAACAGACAGGCGTCCGATCAGAGGCGCGCTCCCTCCCCTTCCATTTCCCTCCAGAAGTGCATTCTGGGAGTGGCTGGCTCACCTTCCTCGCTCTTGCGCAGCCTCAACTCCAGCTCCACTCCTCTCCTCTCCAGGTCATTTAGGTTTTCTTCGATCTCCTTCAGCTCCCGGATGATGTCCACTTTGGGGATGTAGCCGGGCTTCGTCTGCAGATGTTCACATACGTAAGCAAAGTTTTGTGCAAAGTTAAAAAAAAAACAAAGTACATTTTGGCAGATTTAACACGTTTATTTTTTTACATGTGCCCTCTTGTTTTTTGAGGGGGGCTTTAAATGGCATAATATTGTACTCAGGCTTTACTCGTCTTTCCACATTTAAAAAAACTTCTCCTTTTACATCCGTTTTTAACATTTAGTCAGTTTTTATCTTGACAAGTGATGTATAAACAAGGTTTTACTTGTTCACTAAAATGGTGTGAGACCAGTTGAAATATTGACAAGCTAATAATAATAAACATTAACAAGCTGAAACGAAACGTGTAAATGTCCAACCACAGACTAGAGTATTTACAGATGCTTTGATGTTTATGTCCAAAATGACCAAGTTGAAGTTAAATAATCAGCTGGTCCCACCAATAGAAAAACAGAAATCTTTTTGCGCTGCTTGCTAAGAATAATATCTCCCTACCTTCTCCATGTATGCTGTGTTGTTTTTAGTCTGTCGTAATTTTGACATTTTATGTGCATACATGATTTTTGTTCCTTTTTATTGGTCTTTTTTTTCTCTCCTTGTTCCCTTTTTTTAACGTTAATTTTGTTTTGTTAACAAAACAAAATTAAGTCTGTCACAATAACAATTTTGCTTGATGATATATTGTCCCAGAAGTTATCGCGATTAACTATAATATTGTTGTTTTGAGACCATTTTCAATAATGCAAGCATACATTCTCAAAGATGAATAAACTTTCAATTCTAATGAACACAGGGTTTTCCCAGTGTATTATAAGCCTGGCGGGCCACCAGGCTTTATTTGTTCCCCCACCAGGCTAAGCATTCCTTATTTATTCAAGTCTTTTTAAAATATTTGCGTTTTTTAAGACTTTATAGCTGTTGTTCAGGTATTAATCTTCCAATAATACATAATTATCAAGTGATATTTTAAAACTTCCAGTCATTTTAAAACATTTTTAACTCAAAAACACACAAGTTATCTGGCGGGAAGCCTTGGAACATTTATCACTTGAACTGGAAAATATTTAAAATATCCAAAATAAATAAAACCAACAGAAACATAAAATAAAACGGAAAGTGAAGTCGAAACAAAACTGTCCTCAAAAAAAGAAATGACTTGTTGAGACCAAAGGACCAAAGTGAGCACTTTGGTCATTCAGTTATTGATAGAAAAATAAACAAAAGAGGAAAACAATAAATCATGCAAATGGAAATGATTGAGATTGTTTTAATTTGTCAAGTGGTGAACAGACTGACTGATTATTGTAACCTAATTCTTACCTTAGAGTTCTGTGACTCGGACTTTGCGGCATTGGGAATTTGTTCTTTCGGTCCGTTCTGAGATTCTGATGAGATCAAATTCAAAATATGAATGCAACATTGATTGTTCTCAACTTCTTTAAGAATTGAAAACTGAAATCCCAGTGCAGTGGATGTGGCCGTTACCCTTTGACACAGAAATGATGGTGCTGACCGCCGAAGGCCCACCAGAGGGCTCTGAAGTTCTGGTCGCTCCATTACTGTACGGTTTAGGAGAAGACTGAGGAAGACCTGCTGGTCTGAACAGACGAGATTAAAATTAGCGCAAAGAAACCGAGAATTTAATCGTCCTCATTTCATCTGCTTTCAATCCACCCCGGTTCTGCGACAGCATTTCTGAGATTTGATTTATGAAAGGAGAAGGAAAAGGAGAGGGAATTCTTTGGAAGGAGCATATGCTGCACCGCGGAGAACTCCGCTCCGTCCTGACGCCATTTGGGGCGGAAGGGGAGAGACGGAGAACGGCGGCAACAAATGACGGCTGGGCCATTTGGCCGAGCAGCGGGTTCAGGCGTCCTGCAGGAGGACGGATGGAGGGACAGGAGGGATGGACAAGACATGAGGAGGAAAGAAAAATCTCCAACAATTAAAGCTCCATGTCAGTATGCTGAGAGTACACCCATGTACAAACACTCCCTGCCGTTAGAACAGGAAGGAAGGGAGTCACCAATGGACAGCGAAAAGATAAAAACAATTTTTAAAAAAAAGATGGATAATAGAATGGCTTACTTTGCTTCTTTGGAGACAGGCTTGAGCTTTGACCTCCAGGCTCCAGGAGACTCATTTTCTGACACTACAAAAAAAAAAAAAAAAAAAAAAACAAAAATGTTTAAAAGCAAACAAAAAAATTTCTGGATCATTTGAAGTGGCTGAATCTGCGATTTATCCATGCTTTTATATAAAGAATTGCAATAATCTAAACGAGTTGTAATAAAGTCATGGATAAGTCCTTCAAAGGCCTTAAAACAAAAGTAAGATTTAACTTTTTCTAACATCCGCAGGTGATAAAAACTTCATTTAACAACAGTGTTAACTTGTTTATCTAGCTTTAAACAGCTATCAAAAGTAAAACCAACATTCCAAGCAGAGGTCTGACAAAACCGAGCTAAAGAACCAAGAATCACATCTGGATTTGTAGTCAAACAATATAACTTGAGTTTTACTTTGATTGAGGTAAAGAAAGTTTTGTTCCATCCAAGATTAGGTCAGTGCAATGGAGTCACAATGCATCATATTTATTCTCTTCTAAATTAATAGATTTTTGTTTCAAGGACATGCATATGTACTGGTTGATGGCAGAGGTAGGACGTGCAACATGGTGCCTTTTCCAAATTTAACCAGCAGATGGCCCTGTGGGCAACTAGTTGGAGACTCTTCAGCCGCTTGAGTTTTTCTCTTTTTTTGCTTGACTAGTTATAAAAATGCAAATGAACAGCTTTCTTCACTGTGTCTGCACTGCAGGAACACAAAATCAGATCAAGTATTTGTGGTCAAAACTTTGAAAATTGTAAGTTAATTTTAAAATTAACTTGTAAGTTTATTTTGAAAGGAGACGAAACTAACTTACAAGTAACTTTTCAGAAAAATATAGGAGCCATTTGAAGAATTTTGCCCAACCGCCTTGAATTTTGGTATCCATTTACAAATCATTTGGTACCAATGCCCTCAGCTAGAGGTATTTAATTGAATAGGTGTTAAATTATAAAAATATTTGGTAACACTTTATTTGAAGCGGTGTGCTTAAGACTTTAAAATTAAGCGCATTTTGACTGCGTTGTGCTGTGCAACGGTGCGGGGAAAAAGTGTGATCGCGTCTCTGTTCTTGCATGGCGTTTTCTGCCCACATCCTCAGCACGTCAAAAATAAACAAAAAAAAACTTTTTTTTTTAAGTCAATAGTTTCTTAATGTTGATGAAAAAGTACTAGTTCTTCTGAAAGAGTATTTCACTTATAACACTGGAAAAATGTCTTCTCATAAGTGAAATAATCTGCCAGTGGAACAAGGACTTTTTCATGAATAATAAGAATTATTTGCTACAATTATTTACTCCAGTATCTTGTGGAAAACGTACTTGTAAATTTGTTTTATCTTACTTCAAGTGCTGCAACAATACGATAAGACAATGACTTAATTTATTCTCATAAATTTGTGACTTAATTTTATAATTACATTTACTTTTATTTTCTTATCATAGCCCTAATACTCCGCCATGGAAAGAAATGCTGCAGAAAACTCTTCAACTAGACACATTGCTGAGTCTAAGTGTCGTTTCACTCCCTTTTTTATTTCTGTCACAAAAAGTTTCTCTCTCGACAATTTAGTTATTTACTTTGTGACTTTAAATGAATAAGATACATCCCACACCAGAATATAACCTTCAAACTGCCATGTCAAGAGGGGATAATAACTCCTTGAAAGAGTGTGTTTAACCTGATGTGTTGTGGGAGGTTTGGGGAGGTTTTAGGCCGCTCCGACCGACCGCACCGGTAACAGACTTTTCAGGCTCTGGAGTCTGCAGATCCGCCAGGAGAGACGGGTCTGCTTTCAGCTTCACCTTCCCTCTGACGCCCCCCGTTTCAGTCTTCTTTGGCGTCTCCTCTTGAGGTCTGAACGCAACAAATTAAACTGATTCAAAGTCATTCCTGATCACAAGACATTAAACGTGTACAAGAGCTTAAGCAGCAGTATGCAACTTTTATAAATAACAAAAAGGTTTCTTTTTACATATTTGTTAAAACTGCAATAGTAAAGTATAAGACAGATAATCTGTAAAAATAAAAAAAATTAAAAAAAGGAAATAGAGCTCCTCTGCCTTCTGAAGAAATACACCACTCTGTCAGAAATAACCAATCAGAAGCAGGAGGAGTGCAACCTCGCCTACAAGCCGCTTACAACTTCCTCCTCTCCTTGCTACATTAAAGCTGGTTCACCACAACGGAGCCTACCGTCAATGCTAAAGCCAGTTAGCATAGCCAACGATGACGTGGATAAACGGAAAATGAGAACATTGAGCAGTATGTACACGATCATGACTGACAGCTGCGCTAAGCCCTGCAAGCGTTTTTTTTTTTTACTGGGAACTGTGCATTTCTTCAGATGGCAACAGTAGCTCAGGCAGATGGTAATATTTTCACAGATTGTCTCATGTTATACTGACAGGAGCTGTTTCCATTGCAAATGTGCGCAAACCTTTGTCTATTTTCTGCTAATCTCAAAAAGAACACAATTTTGCAATTGAGGTGTTTCCATTGAAATAAGAAATAAAAATTAAAATCAAACACGAATAAGTTTATTCGCACTAAATCATGTGAGCAATGGATTTAGTGTGAATAGTTACATGAGATATATCCGCAACTCAGCCAGTCAGAGGAGACTTCAGTATCTTATTCACTCTACGTCTACGACGTTCTGAGGATATTGTAGACGGCCATTTTACATAAGAGTTATGGCTTCAACAGGTTGGAATGACACACAACTTTTTATGAACTGTGTGAGCAAAGACAAGCATCATCCAGTTTCTACTTCCTGTCGTCTTCTTTGTGGTTTTCGCCAGTAGTAAGATCTGGTAGTTGATCATGTGTCTTGTAATGAGAAAAATGTTTTACAATACGGCTGAAAACCCACCGCATGGTAACGCAAAAACTTTTTATTGAAAATTGAGAGGTTTTCTTTTTTAACTGGCTTGTTTTCATAAAGGGAATTTATTTTCCTAATTTCAATTGTGCAATTTTACTGTTAACGCAAACACAACTAGTATCAACAAATATGTAAAAAACATAAATACTGTAGCGTTAAGGATAATTCTTCCGTTCTGATCAGACTTACTTGTCAGTTTTTCGGAGCGCTATGTTTGTCCACGATGGTTTGCTGCTGTTGTTGTTGTTCTCCTCAGGAAGTTTCTTGGAGATGAAAGCTGCTGCTGATGCTCTCGTCTTATCATCATACTCTTTAGCATTTGTACTCGACTTGCTACCCGCAGCAGATGTTTTAGCTGCACCCCCTTTATCCACATCTTTAACATTGACAACCATGGTTACAGTCTGACCCGGCAACACGTCCTGCCCCTTGCTGTTCGCGGCCTGGCCTTTATTCACAGTTGTACTGAAGACTGACGTCTTTTTCTCCTCGTGATTGGCGCCGTCATCCGACTGTAAAAACTTCATTTTTGACTCCCACGTTTTGGCCACGGTGATGGAGGTCTGGGGAGCAGCCGTGGGCTTGGTGCTGACACCTGTTGTAAAGGTAGGCAGTTTGGACACGGGAACCTTTGGTGTTTCCGAAGCAGGAGCTGAGACAGGTGAAGCAGAAAACGAACTGGAGCCATTCGGAGGAGAGCCGGGCTTCTCCGTCACCCACACCGGCCCCAGTCTGGACGGTGTTTTAGCCGGGGCCACTGTGGCGGGTTTACTTTGTTCGGCTTGGGGAGTGAATTTGGAAATGTGGGTGTTTGAGGGAAGATCGCGAAACGGGGAGCTGGTATTCGTCGAAAGAGACCTGAAATACAGGAAAGAAAATGTGGTTTTAATAGATGATATTTTTTGAGAACCAGTCATAAAGAATTCTTCTGTTTTTACTTTTGTGGTCATAATTAAATGTTTCAGAGCATCAAACTAATTTTTACATCCTAAAATGTGAATTAGCGTGGCAAAAAAAAACAACCCTCTGCTCTTTACTTCGTACAGAGAGGTGCAGAGGGCCTGGAGATCGCGGCTATTGAGAAACAATTACTTCCTGCAGGAATGCATTCTTTTGAAATTTTAAACGACTGGATAAAATGTTTTCCAACGGTTACTGCTGAACTCAAACTAACAGCATTTCAAAAGAGAATAGTTAAAACATAGTTGAGGTTTGCAGTCTGGACAATGACCCAGACAGATGTCCTTACCTTGCACAGTTCCTGTGATAGAGCTTTCCCTCTACTAGGTGTCGCTGCACCAGGTGAACATGTTTGTTACACGACACACATTTGTTGCTTAAAGTTCCTGCATGAGATTTCTCAACCTGATGATCCTGGAAGACAAAGAAGACGTCTGTTAATGAGGAACTTCTTTTAAGACGGCAGTGAGAACATCTGCTTTTTTGGGAAATTCATTTTTATTCTACATGATACATTATTGATTTATTGCGATTTGTCGCAATAAATCAATAACTTGCATGATAAAACAAGCTTAATTATTTCCATCTGCATGATTTATCATTTCTCTCTTTGACCCAAAAACAGGATGTTAAAAGTCTTCAGTCATTTTTTAAGTCAAATTTGTTTACAGTGGCATCATAACTTATGTTAGTTGTTGTTTCTGTTGTTTTGTTTGTTTTGGATATTTCAAATGTCTTCCAGTTTCAGTTCTAAATGTTCATTAGAATCTCAAGTTCATTGAACTCTGAAAATGCATTCTTATTATGCCATTATTACCACTATATCACATGAAAATGATCAACAGTGTTGTCATTCATAGCAATAACGATTCGAACAATTTGTCATCTGGCAAAATAGTTTTTTTTGACAGGCCTTCTGATGACAACGGCAACATGAGGAATCTTTCATGTGGAGTCGTTTATGTCATTGTTACTAAAATTTCACTTACAATTTTGCATTTTGTGAGTGAATACTTCTCAAAATAAAGCCTGCGAAGTCCAGATGCAGCCTAAAAGTGTCTTTACCTGCGTTGAACTTCTGATCTGTTTAGGTGACGGAGACGGCTTCGTAACGTTGGGAGAGCGGGGAGGACTGTTCTCCCTGCTGGGTTTAGATCCTGGAAACACCTTAGCAGTCACCGGCTGGTTCTTCTTCCCTGAAGGTTCGTCATCGGCGCCCTCTGCTGGACGCTTTATACCTGCCATGCCGCCAACTGAACGCAGACGTAAACAAATTACATGAGAAAAGACAGGCAATAATGTAGATTGACGTAATGAAGCAGGGTTAGAACTCACTTGGGGAACGTCCATGGAAGTAGTTGTAGTACTGAGAGACGTACGTCAAGATACTGAGGCGGTCAGGAACCCTAAGAGCCACCATGTCTTCCGCATCCAGCAGAGCCGGAATCCCCAGTTGTTCTTCTGCAACTTTAAAAGCCTGGAAAAAACACAAAAAAAATATGTTTAATCAATGAAACATTTTTTTTTTCTTCAAACAAAACCAAACAACAGATAAAGTGATAAAGAGGAGGCTTCCTGACTTTGTGTAAGAGTTTTTGGCTTTTAGAGGCCTCAGTGCATCAAAAAATATTAAATATTATTATAAGTTTAAATATCAGTAGAAAAGTGATCATGCTTTCTTATCTTCAGAAAGACATTTGTTCCTGCACGCCTGGTATTGAAAACATCTCAGAGCCTGTTTTTTCACAGCCCATGCAGAACGAAAGGCGGCAAAGAGAAGTTTGGCAACTCGAATGTTGACTCTCACTCACCAGTTCAATGAACAGGAAACAAGCTGAGGCCTGCCAGTGACCACCAGATACACAACTTAATCAGAAATCAGATCATCAGCAGAGCCTCTCAAAACTCACTTTGTCGTTGACTTGCCCTGCCACTTTCTAAAAATGCTCAATGGAGCCGGTCTTTCACCAAACTGGTTGCCAAGTTTCTGGAAAACCCTTGCAAGGAATCCGTTTCACTCAGAGCATAGCAGACGTTTCCCATAATACATACCTTTCTTTTTCCCTCATTCATCATTAAACAAATAAACGCAGCTGGAATCAGATTGACAAAACTATACATTTTAATGTGGGCAGAGTGACTCAACAAAACACACTTTTTTTAAATCATCCATTTATTGTTCAGATATTGTCCAGATTTGGACTGGACAATATCTGGACAATATTGTCCAGATACGGTGATATGTTTTTTTGGCTGAAAAACGTATCATAATAAGCGTTCCATTTCAGTCTGTATCAATAATTATAGCATTTTTGTTTGTTTTAAATATCTAAAATACTGCCAAACAATTAGCGTGGCCTTTCCCATTTTATTCACAATTTTCACTCGTGTTGGCAGACATTGGGCAGAGTTTCCAAGACAAAGAACATGGAAGAGGAGAAAGAAATAGCTGCAATAAAAAAAAAAAAGTTCTGCCAATTAATACGTAGCCTATGTTAGCTTGGAAGTGTCGCCCTTTGCTAGCTGTGCTTAGCCTGAGCTAACGGTCAATAAGCTTTAGTGAAGAAACAGAAAAACTAGAGAAGATGCTGGTGAGCAAACCGAACAAGGTAATGGCACCACCTCAAGTTCATTGACCAACCACTTCATAAAACCCTGTACTACAGGGATCTGTTAACTGAAAACAACCAAGGGGGAATTCTGTGCAAGAATTTGTCGAGTTCAAATCTCAGCTTATGCTTTTATGTAGGAAGTTAGCATATTCTACTTTCTACACATACTTCAGTCCAAAGCCGGGCCTGGTGGGTTTGAATGTTCTCTCTGCTGATGTCAAGAAATGATGTAATTCTCAAAAACGCCAAGTTTATGTAACGCCAGGCCTTTAAGAAATTGTCAGCGATGTGACAGAACTACCAGGATTAGAAGTGAGTTAGCTAAAATTAAATCAGTTGGAGATGTTAAATCAGGCAACAAAGTTTCAATAGGTTCACAAAGGGAAACAAAACACAACATTGAGTGACTAAATAAAAACAATAGACTTTTGCTGTTGGTCCAGAACAAAGAGTTAAGATATCTCTGAACAAGAGAATCTGTGCCACATGACCACCAACACGTTAGCGTCATCCAAAATGCTGGGCCAGACTTATTTATAAAACCAAACAATTCTTCTGGGAATTTTCTGGCAGTTGTTTTTGCCAAGTAGGTTCCTGAAATGACAGGAAAAGTATCAAATAGGCAGCCTGGATAAGAGCTGTTGAAACTGTCTAAAAGCTACAACACTTCCTTTATTATCTCCCTTTGTGTACGAAACATTGGGCCATCCTTTATGACATGCAGTGGATCATTTCTTCCCACAATTGTTCTCATCTTGGACTTCCAAATCAAAACCGTTATTGTGCTGCAACAGCACTTGCTGGGACTCACCCAAAATATTGTATAATGAAACACAAGACAGAATATTTATGATACTACAAAACCTTAGAGCATTCGTGTCAAAGACAACAGGTCTTACCAGCTTGTTGTTGTCGTAGACATCTTCCTTCTTCAGGGAATCAAAGTTGCTGCAACAGAGAAATTAAAAACGAAGAGGAAAGGAACATGAGATCAAACTTTCCCAGCTACCTTTATTAGTTCTGGAGCAGTGACATGTGTTGTTTAGTCATGCATAGTTTCCTCACTTCGCCATGACACGACAGTACGAGTGAGTCAGACTAGATGTATGTGCTCTGTCAATGATCCCATGCATCCTAAACTGAAACCAACACAAAGCTCAGACTGCAGAGATCACTCGGGCCGTTGTTGAGCAACTCCAGCAGCGCATTTAACCACCGACTATAGCTCCAGAAACACGACTAAAATTAAAATGTTCTGCAATTCCGCGGTCTGGCGGCTGGTGACGGCTGGTGGAGGCTGGGATGGAGGACACACTGGGAGCAGTTTTATCTCCGTTTGATATTACTCTGCCGTTAAAGAAACACGTCAAGGAAGAAAAAAAATTAAGGTGTAAGCCGGCCAAGGTTCAATATGTGATAAGTTAAGGCTTAGTAACAGCTAAATAATTAATCTGAGAATGAGCTTATGTTGAGTTTAGTCGTGTCCCAGTGATACTCTGGCATTACCGAGGACAATATTTACATATTTCTGCCCTAATGAAAGCTGCTTGTTTTGAAAAATGTCGTCTGAATCAAGAGCTGACTTTTTTTCTTCTTCTTCTTCTCCAAAGATAAACACAAGGAAAGAATGCAAGCGAGTTACATTTTGCTTTCAATAAGGCAGATTTATAAATAAATCTTCTCCCTGCTTTCTGGAACTGTTGAGAACTAAGCCTGCATTTTTCAGCCCCTTCTAGCACATTTCATAGCTTTCACTTTGCCTAAAAAGTTATTTTTACAGATGACACGCTGGTGAAAACATACAATATCACTGTAAAATGGAAAGAAATAACTTATTCTCGTATACAGGTTTTTAAAAAACAAACATATAATCTGACCATTTTACTGTCAAAGGTTAACACCAAGTTTATCCTCAAATCTTCATTTCTGTTCTGAACAGTATCAAGAGTTCTTGTGTATCTAAAGATCTATGTTATCATCACAAGGAAGACCAACGAAATAAAAAACACCAACATTATTTTACTACAGATTTGTCAGTAACTGAAAAGTATTGCTATGTACTGGACTGTACATGAACTCAATACTTGACTGGTCCTCGTTTTTACAAATGACTCTTTAAGTAGTGGCCACAACTGCAGTTTTCATTTTGATCTCCCTGAGCTCTGAGTTTCACCACACCGTCTTCCTTCCACTCAACTTTCCAATAATATGCTCAGACCAGAAGCACACGCTTAGATAACATGTAGTTGATAAGTTTGCTTCTTCTCGATTACCCATCAGTGGTTTAGTTTTGGTTTCTTGCGATATTCAAATTGACTGGCAATGAGAATTAGAAAATAATCCAAATCATGAAAATGAGTAAAAATAGACTTAGAAAGAATTTAAGTTTGGCATATTTCAGTGTTTGAATCGAATGACTGAAATCAGCTTTTGGATTATATTCTACTGATGTGCTTTTTTGTAAGCATTTAACTATTGTAATGTCTAAACATTCATCTCACAGAGTTAAGACTGAAGTTGAATTGGTTCTTTCAACAGATCAGTCCCGTTGAACCCTGAGCTCCACTGAGTCCACGGCTCAACTTCTCCTCCACAGATCCATCCGGATGAGGTTTGATCTCTTCTTATTAAATCTGCCATAAAACTGAAGGAAAATAAAAAAAACCCTGATAGAGTCTGAGTAGTGAAAAAAAAACATAACATAAAATAAAAATAAAAGCGCAAACAGATCCTCTCTTGCGTTTTAAAAGCTCCGGACGCACACGGCGGACCTCGCCGCGGGTCGTGCTTCCACAGCCGCGATACTCACATGATGTCGGGTCTGTGTTTGTGGATGAGGGCGCAGAAAGCCAGGCCGTCCCTGAAGGACGTGGTCATGTTGGTGATGGACACATCCCGGTAGCCCTCACACTGGATCCTGCACCACTGCTGCAGAGCCTTCACGGCCGCCATCCCAGACCTCAGAGCCCGCACAGAGCCCGCAGATCGGCGGTGGAAGTCCCGGAGCTCCTCCTCGCTCAGTCCTCCGCTTCCCCCCGCCTCTCGCGCTCTCTGCCCGGCGAACTTCAGGGAACTTTCCGCGGCCTCACCGACACGCTGGATCCAATAAGAGGCTGACTCAGACAAGCGCGTCGGCTGGGAATCGGCTGTTCTCCCTCAGCTGATAGAGGAAATAACCGGGTTGTGACACCTGTGGACGGTCGGGTCTGACGTGGTGTGGGTGGAGCTCCACGGAGCTTCTTTAGGTGTTTTTTTCTGCGTGGGCCAGTCCCGAAGTTGATAACACAGAAACGACAGAAATCACCTCGAGATTAGATGCATAATTCAGATTTTCTTTTCAAATGAAACTCCTTGCATTCATACGTGGAATACAGCAGGGACGGAGCAAGGCTGCATGGGGCCGACAGAGGCGCCCCCAAGGGGGTGGAGAGGGTGTAAAAGTACTTTAACGCTGATGTATGTAACTCTTACATATTTGTTCATACTTTCACCATCTTGTGACAATATAATATGAGAAAGCTAATATGTGATAAAATTGAGTTCTTCCACCTTGTCCCTGCTGCTACTGCTGTCTGAAGAAATGTGCCGCTCCTGACCAAAAACAGCCAATCAGAGCCAGGGGGAGGGTCTTAGCGCTGTCAATCAACTTGCATGTGAACATGCTGCGGAATGCACTCATGGCGGAGAAAAAGCTCACTATTACAGGCAGACAGTTTACTCCCCGACATCGAAGTAGCACACACCGGCTTGATTGACAGCGCTAAGACCCCCCTCCTGGCTCTGAGTGGTTGTTTTCTAATTAGCAGTAGGAGAAGGCAGAGGAGTTCGATTTTTAGCTGTCTCATACTATGCTGTCTCAACAAATAATAGTTACGTCAAGTACAAACCCACTCAGATGGACAGTCTTATTAGTTTAATTGTATTAAGAACTGAAGAGCACAAGCTTCAAAAACTTGTAATGTCTGTTTTATTTCAAATTAATCCTGTCTCTTTTTCCCCTCTGTTGTTCGTAGTGCATTTTAAATATTTAACTCTTGATTCTGCTGTCAAATGATGATAGAGTCATGTAATTACATATACATGGGAATGTTTCCAATTCATTTTTTAAAATTAAAATCATTTTCATGTCCTAGTTTGTAATCATCTTAAAGGCCTCGCAAAAATCTATTAGCTATGAAGGTTAACTCATGTGAACAATGCTTTATAATATGCATTGTGCAGCTATTTTGGTAGCCCTGGGATAAGTAGTGAAAACAGTTAATCGGGTGTGGTTGAGCGGGTGAGATCCAGCTGGTCCGGTCCTGCTCAGGTGGGTGTGTTACAGGCGATGGGCGGCATCAGCTCGCTAAAATCACCCGACACCTTCAGAGTAACAACAAAGAAGAGGCGGAGGCTTTGTTTAGGTAATTCAGACATGTGTATACCTGCAGCCTTAGCAGCTTCTCCGCAGTACTCCTCATCTGCTTCTATTTTTCTCAACACATTCAACCTTTAAAATGTCTCATATTTCAGTTGCTTAATCTCATGTAACCTTTATGTCTCAAGTAAAAGATTAATACTTTTTTTTTTTTACTAAGGAAGACAAATGATGGCTCCAGTTCCTTAAGCTGACCTCATTTGTTGGGATCTTGATCGAGCTTCATGTCAATTAAATATAATTTGGTTAAAAAAACAAAGAGAAAACAAAACAAAAAGGTTTACGTCAACAAATTCCTGTTTTGAAATGGTTGGTTAGTCAAAACGTATTCTAATTGACTGTTAAAGCACATGATTACTGTGAGGAAGAGTGTGCAGAATCTAGGCTGACTGACAGGAAATATTTGCATAACTGAACTTAAACTGGTTCCTGACAAGCTTACACAAATATACATGAACATCATGAAGTTTTCCTTAGTAGTGGCTTACTTCTACCTTTAGGAATGATCTCACTGCAAGTAAATGCATTAAAATGAATATGGTTAAAAGAGTACAAAACAGTTTCTAAATAATTATTTATTTATTTATTTTTATATTAACTTTCTAAAGGTGCCAGCTTTGGTTTTAATAACACTTTTTTTATTCACATGATGGCCTAAATATCTGAGCAGTTAAAGCATTTAGTAACAAATTATAGGAAACCGGAAATTCTGGTTTTGCAGTTGCCTGGCCTTAAAACTGTATGAGCTGAATTTGAGTGTGCTATATTTTGAATCTGATCTAATTGGAATGTGTTTCCTTAAATTTTAAATAAACTAAACTGAACAACTGTTTGATTAATTGTAATGACCAATCTCTTTTAAAAGTGGAGCTGCGACACCTCACTTTGTCACAAAATGTTCAATTTCTGAAGCTAAACTTGGAACTCAAACGCTGTTTAGCAGAAAGTGTGGCAGTGGCAGGTTCACCGTGTGGCGGGTTCACCGTGTGGCGGGTTCACCGTGTGGCGGGTTCACCGTGTGGCGGGTTCACCGTGTGGCGGGTTTACCGTGTGGCGGGTTCACCGTGTCGAAGCTCAACTTTCTGCTGCGTCTTCAGAGCTTTTGTTTTTTCATGGCAGCTGAATTTATGGAGTAACGTCTTTAATGTGTTCATACGCTCTTAAAAACAAATATTGCACCGAATTCTGTGGTTTCCTGGACTTTGCGCGTCGTTCTGTTTGAACTGGACACAGAATACGTCAAAAACGTCGACCGTTGAACCATCGACCAATCACGTCGCGCGTTTCAACAGAATTTGGGAATTTGGTCAGAGGAGGCAACTGAATACTGAGCTACTAATCACAACAACAATCAGTTCATATTTGGAAAGTTACATTATCAGATGGACCAAAGTAGAAAGTTTGTGGAAAGTTTGGTATTTTAAGGAGCAAAATTATTTATGAAAGTCATTTAGAAACAAACAAAATCAAGCTAAAGAAATAGTTTTCTAAATCGCTTTCTTTCAGAATAAAGCAGATGAAACTTTAGCAAAAATAAGTGTGTGATCTTTTTGGGTAAAACAATCTGATTTTAATTTAGTGATATTACTCAGTGTGGGTAGAGGATCCAGACATTTTACTCAAGTGAGAGTCGCAATACTTTATCATAACTTTAGTAAAAGTGAAATGTAGACTGTTACAAAAAATGCTCCTAAAGTAAAAAAAATTTCCCCAAAAAAGTTACTCAAGTAAATGTAACTAGTTATTACCCAATTCTGGTTACAAGATGGCTTTTGGCATGTTTGAGTCAGGCTCTCCCACTTCATCATCATGTATTCCTCCTTAAGGAAGATGTCAAACTAGATAACACATTTCATCTGGTCATCTGACTGTCCTAGTCATAGTCAGAAGTTCCTGTTAGATGGAAAGAATTACAAGTTAAATGGATGTCACATGAATCACCAAACTCATTTAAAGCCTCTGGGACGGTGCCAGCTGTGGAGCGTTTTAAACTAAATTTAGTTTTTGTGAAGACAAGATGTGAATGTTAAGTTTCTGTTTTGTCAACCAGAGTGAAACGAAAATAAAAACAGTTCAGCTGATGGCAGAAATATTGTTTAGCCGAGTTTCAAGCTGGATGGAGTAACCAATAAAAGTTTGCTCAGGGACACATTTTACATTTATATATTATTAAGTTAAGTGTTTTTCTATCATTCATTTCCAAATGCATTCATCTCTGCGTTCATCCAACCTTATCATTATAGAGTAAAAAGTGAACACGCTTTTTTACCAACTCAACTTCAACTAAGCTTTTAATTACATATTGTCCACTGTTTATCAGTATATTGGTGGACAATATTCCAAAAGTGATTCAGAAATGAAAACATTGTAATTACAGAAAAATAAGCGACTCTAACAACTCTGTGTGTTAAAATATAATGGAAGACAGACAGAGCTGACATTTATGCAATATTAAGGACAATAGTTTTACCAGATTATTGAGCTACAATCCTTCAGACCTGAACTATTAAATCTTTTCTTCTTCACTAATTTTTCCAAATAATCACATATTTTTAAATGGACTTTTCTGATGCAACAACCTTTGGGGGAAGGTCGACAGGTACGATGTGTTGCCTAGAGCCGCAGAGTGTGACTAACTATTGCTGTGGATACAACAATGGTTTGTTCTCTGGCCTAAAAAAAGGCCTCTTTAAGAGGAATCTGACAAATGAACGCTTAGTGACAGCAAGTGGACAGAGTGAGCAATCTTTCCTTGCTGTTCGGAAAAAGTGGACGAGTGACACCGTTTCCTTTTGCTAAGATAGAAAACTTCCTACCTCTCTGAATAATAGACTATACCTGACTGCATTTGTTTTATAACTAGCATCATAATGGAGTGCATGTTAATAAAGGCAATAAATAATAATGGAAGAGCGTTGAGCGGGAGCTTCCTAAAGCAACACAGGCGTCAAATTGCAAAGTCATATTTGATGTATAGCTACAGCATTTTTATAACAACTGAAGTCAACATAGTTATTGTGTAGTAAAATGTCACTTGCACAGAAAACATGTGAAACGTTCATTTCAAAGGGTTCTTTTTAATCAGAGATGAGCCTCATCACAACACGCATTTGATTTATTACACATGCATGTACGTCATAAACGTTGGAGCCACAAAACACCTCGTGCTTTTCTACGTTCACACAGACACAACGAGCTGAAGGCGCCAGTGTGTTGTTGGCGTGAGGAATCCAACCACCAGCTAATGCAACAAAAAAAAAACATTCAGAGGAAAAAAATAGGACAGAACAATGAAACTGCTTTCAGCTTTTCTTTTATGACTCCCAAAACTCACCCACACAATAGCCACATGTCAAAAAAGATGCTTCACTTTAAGACCAACTTGAAAAGAACTTCTTTCACATGGTAACAACATCCGAGCCACAGCTGAAACAACACAAACTGTTTCTTATGGCATTAGGCCTTTTCTTGTCACATTTCATAAACGCACATCACAGGCCCAGTTGTGGACATCAACATGTCTTGTTCTTCACTTCTCTTTTCCACATGCCGTCCATGCTTACACTCCCCCACAAATACTTAATCCTCCCAAATCCAGACAGGAAATGTCCTCGTCAGTGGAGCACAATGCTTTCGACAGACCCCCTCTGCTCCTTTCTCTCTTTCTCTCCTCCCTCCTGGCTGAATGATCTATGTGCCCCCTTCAAAACGCCCATCTGGAAACATTCAGCCTGAGAAAAGTCACACGCTGCCAATAACAACATGTCTGCAGCAGGTCTAGTTTATCAGTTGTGGAGTGTACCTTAAAGCCAGCTATCAGAGGAATACGACGCCGCATTATGGCCACTGCAGATAGAAAAATAGTGAGTAAATTTCAGCCAAAAAAACCCCTAAAAGTTATAATCAATCTCAGAAATTTTCAAGAAAAAAAACCGAACTTTTTGAACTCAAATTTTCTCTTTATTTCTACAAACTTCCTGAGATTTGTTTGATGGATGTACAAATCCCCCCCCACCCCCCCCCCCCTCCACAATGAAACATGAGATGTCTGCTTTCACTTTTTAAAAGGAGCTGCGTGCATTCTGTGGTTTTGAGTCATGACTCATGAAACCTTTCGTAAAATTCTGCATCAAGTTCCCCCTCCTTTTTCTTTTAAACTCTTCCTGGTTTGATGGCATTTATTAGGCCCTGGAGAATTGTTCAGGATTTTGAAAGGAAAGCCCTGAGATGAATCCGCTCTGTGAGAAGAGGAAAGGACATGCCTAATTATCTGGAAAACGGTATCTTTGCAGCGACAAGGAGAACAATAGACAAAAGGAAAAGGTCATGAAGAGGGAAAGTGGTGAACGGTTTATCTGAGGACAGCCGAGGAAGGAAATAATGAAGAGAAAGCCATTGTATAATTTATAACCAGAACTGGCAGGGAATCAACACTGTTAATGACTGCAAGAGTGACTGTGGTGGCATATATAAAAAAAAGATAAGCATTAACAAGAATGTCCATGTCCAGATATCAGAGATAAAGCATCAATTAGATTCTAAATGAGTAAGAGTTTGACATTATCTCAAGGATTTGTGGATTTAGACTTACAAAGAAGAAACATGCAAAAAATGTCGAGGGGAAAAAAGTCAAAGAAAAAAATAAGTCAAACAATAATCAAACAAAGGGCTGCAGTGGCATAGAACTGTTGCCTTGCAGCAAGAAGGTCCTGAGTTCTGCATGGAGTTTGCATGTTCTCTCTGTGAATAGTGGGTTCTCTACGGGTACTCCGGCTTCCTCCCACAGTCCAAAACCTTGACTGTCAGGTTGATTGGTCTCTCTAAATTCTCCCTTAGTGTGAGTGTGCGTGTGCATGGTTGTGTGTCCTGTCTGTCTCTGTGCTGCCGAGCGACAGACTGGCGACCTGTTCAGGGTGACCCCGCCTCTCGCCTGCAAAGTTATCTGGAGATGGACACCAGCACCTCTTGACCCCACGAGGGACAAGGGTGTCAGAAAATGGATGGATGGAATAATCACTGGAAATTGTGCCCTCTTGTGTCAAGTTTCAGTACAGTGAAAGAACACATTCTGTTTTTCCCACAAGTGGGATAAAAATGATAGACACACACTCCATAGACAAATGGATCTCTGGTGTGATAAACCCTACACTTTCTTTTAACTTGTCCTTGAGTTTGCAAGAAAAACAGCTATTGATGTGTAAATTAAAATTAAAGTCATTTTCTGCTAGTGTCAAAAAAACAACACAATTTTACAATTGTGGCGTTTCCATTAAATGAGGAAAGAAATTAAAGTCCTGCATGGATAAGTTTGCTCATGAGATAAATTAATAATTCAGCCATGGTGCTAGTGCTCATCATCTATCAGCCAATCAGAGGAGACGTCAGTAACAAGCCCCTTATACTTGGGTGCGACAACATGTGCGGCATTCTGGGGGAAATGATAGTCGGCTATTTTACAGAAAAGCTATTTATTCAACATGTTGGAATAACAAAAGTTTTTACGACCTGTGAATAGTTGCACATTGTATGAAACCCCCCTCCCCAAAAAACAATCAATCGATTTCCTACTACAACTTCTTTGTCGTTTCCACCAGTAGTAATATTTGGTTGCTCATGTGACCCGTGTAATGTGAAAAAGTTTTGCAAAATGCATCTATAGTGATACTGCTGAAAAATTACCTCATGAAGATTGGAATGTCAATAAAGATGTGTGCAAATGTTCCAATACATTTACATTGATACGTAAAACACCAGACGCACGCAATAAATCACACAAGTACATTTTTACCACAGCAGATTTTAAAATAAAATTTATTAAAACAAATGGCTGCTTATTGACATTACTTGTGAAGTAAATGGGAAAAAAACATAAATTTTCTTCACCTTGAATTGTTCTTTTGACCTGCTGTTCCACACAAACATAATGTTTTGTTCAAAGGAAACTTTTTTTTTTTAGTCCAAACATCTATTCATCCAAAAAAAACTAATAGTCTAATAATGCATTTTCTAAATCAAATGCAAGAAAAGAATTCAAATGACAATCCATGTCAAACCCCTCCACATTAAGAAACGCCTTGACAGAATAAATTCATACAATTATTTCCGAAAGAAAAAAGCAGTCATTTGAAGCTAAAGCAAGAGTTCCATTTGTTTTTGATCTTTTACGGCTTTTTCAGTTTAAAATTTTCTGGTTTCTGAGA